ATTTTATATCGTCACCAAATCAACCACCACGCCAGCCACAGCCACCCAAGTTATTCCCAGTTTTCAAGAAAAAAGTTTGCCGTACAAAACTTGGTAAACAATTGTACAACGGAAGTACAAGTGATTCGAGTGTAGGGTCAGACACTGAAAGGGCTACCAAATCCGACTTCAGGCATCGCTACGCATTGTCAGTAAAATGTGACTTCAGGCATCGCTACACATTATCGATGAAACGACGAATCGTCGTATTTATTTGACATTTGTTATTCCCATAACAGTATTTTTACAGAATAAATTAATTGCAATGATACATCATTAATAATTACTTGTCTGTTTTGGTTGTGTGTGTGTTTGCCTATCCCCTTCGCTATTTCACAATGAAAAAGTTTGATGACCCTGGTTTAAGAGCCACTGGCTACAAAGTTGTCAAAATGTTACCTCAAATAAGCACCACCCAGAAATGAAAGTGTTACAAAGTGGCTCTTATTTGAGGGTTTTTACGGTAACAAACAAATGTACTGTGAAATACTTTATTTTCGCAGAAAGAACGATTAAGTGAAAATAAAAACCAACGAATATACCTTATTTCCTATATTTTACATTCAACTCGTCAAAAACCAGTGAAAAATAATTCCAGGGAAAATTAAGTATTTTACAGTACTTTAAAATTAGCTTGTTTGTCTCTTTCATACTAACAAATCATCTAAAAAACTTGCATAATTTATTCGAAGTAGGGGAAGCAATGTTTAATTGCATTAATAGTCTCTATGTTTAGGAAATACGAAGTATGTAATGCTTGAACATAAATGGTCTGAGCATGTCAAAGATATTCAATAAAACAAAATGGCCACCAATCGACCATTTTAAATCTGATCAGAAAAACAAAATGAGAAGCATTATATGTCCCATAACGTTTAATGTTGGTATTGAATTTGACTGAAATCTGTCTATACACATGGTATACAGCATGGTAGAAATGCTGGATTTGGATGAATTTTTAGCACAAAAATGGCCACCATTCAGCCATTTCGAGTCAAATCACCTAATCCATCACAAGATGAATGTGTGAAGTTTGAATGTGATTGGTCCAGGCATGACCAAGATTAGAGTAACTAAAAAGCAGCTGCTAAAACAATTACCGATTTTGGTCACATGACACTTTATTGTATGAAAGTTTCAAGAGAAACAATAATTTTCAGTTCTCTTCGTTGCTATACTAGGCCCGATAATAAAAAAAAATCTTGCCTTGAGGAAAATCCAGGGTTGGTAAGCAATTTTATGAAGTAACAGTCGTGAAATTTTGTTTCTGCAAACAATTTCTGGCTTTCAATACTTGAAACAAAGACGATAAAGTATAATAGTGTACTTACTGCTGACACTGGATCCGAGTGGGCAGGTAACGTTTTTAAACATTTCCCAGTCTTCACATCCCATATCCGTACGCTCTCGTCAAACTTATAGATAAAACAAAAATAACACAAAACTTGTGATCTATTTTTCTCCTTCACAGCTTAATTGCTAAACATTCCGACTGTATTACTGTTTGATCATTTCGAACATTTCAGTAATTTTTTTCAGATTTTTAATTTGTTTAATGTGTTAATTAACACAGGAAGTATTAAATCTGCGTGGTAAGTATACATTATACGATTAACTTACCGAACCAGATACTATGAGATTGGACTGTGGGTTAAAATTACAACAAAACACATAATTACTATGTCCTTTCAACGACTTCAAACACTTCCCCTGAAAAATAAAAGTAAAATACCTTATGAATTGTATGGCAGTCATATTTGCTCACAATATTTCATTTTTATGCTAAAAAAAAATCTGAGGTCTTCACAAAATAGTTTCAATATCTGAATAGAAAAGAAAGCAAAATCTTACCGAGTTTAGTTCCCATATTTTTAGTGTTTTATCGTCTGAGGCAGACACGAGTAACCTGGAATCACTTGACCATGCAACGTCTGAAATACCCTAAAAATAAAGATCTAAGGCTAAATCTCTCAAAAATTATGATAAATCTCTTCTGGTTAGATTGCAATGATGATTACAGTACAATATAAGCAGTTACCCAGAGTGGATATCAGAAAGTAGATATTTCCACTAAACCTCTGTTGTGTGTATTTTGCACAATACTGTAAAATACTTTATTTTAGCTGGAATTAATTTTCGCTGAAAAGACATTTTGGGTGATTTGTATGGGATTTATTCTTCACTGATTTTTGACGAGTTGAATGTAAAATATAGGAAAAAAGGTATATACACTGGATTTTATTTTCACTGAATCATTCCTTCAGCGAAAATAACAAAAATTAATTCCAAGCGAAAATAAAGTATTTTAAAATAGGTGGATTTATATTTACTACGAGATCTCACGTTTTGCATAAAAAGTGTGGACCGAGCAAAAATAAAAGATTTGATTTTGAATTTCTTTTTTTATAGCTCAAAATAAATCTTTCCAATGGAATATGGTGTTGAGATATTCCTTCTTCATCAAAATTGACCATCATCAATTGTGTATAGCACATTATAAAGTAGCGAAATACCACAAAAATATGTTCCTGTTTGTCAAATCTTGTGCGATGTTTTGACGCTATTACTACGTTATGACCTTTGTTTGTCTGGTTTTTGCATTTGATTTCACACATAACAGTGGATATCAGATATAATCTCATGCAATGCAATGTTTTGACGCCATTACAATGCTATGACCTTCGTTTGTCTGGTTCTTGCATTTGATTTCACTCATATCGCTGGATATCAGAACAGTAACAGAATATGGCTATTCAAAATAACGACCAGTGTAGAAAGTAGTAGTATATTTTATTGTGAACAAACTCAATATGAAGTAACAAAACTTTTTTTTACTAAAGACATCGTTATCAAGGTTAAAATAATGAAGAAACTATCTTAGTACTGTAAAATTACTAATTTTCACTGGGTTTAAATTTCGCTGATTTACCATTTCAGGCATATTCAGTTGGTTTTAAATTCACGGTTTTATCATTTAGATAATGTGTTCTATGCTAAATTTTACATATTCACTGGGCTTTAATTTAGCGCATTTTCCAGTCAGCGAAATAAGCAAAATTAAAACCCAGTGAATAATTAATCCTTTTACAGTAGATAAAACATTAATAGTAATTAAAATACACCTTACCAGTTTATGCCCTGTAATTGTCTTTTCAAATTTCCCATCATAAGCACCCCATATCTTGATTAGTTTGTCAGCAGCTGAATAAAAAGACAAATCAAATGTTCATTTTAATTGAGCATATACTTAAAGAGTTTACCAGTGACTGTCCAATTTGTACACTTACTAAGATAGTCTAGAAGATGTATATTTAATCTTTGAACACCAAAATCAACTTGCATAACATTCTAAAGTATAAACCTGCTCGGCAAAAATACAATAAAATAAAAAATCAGTGATACATGGTGCTTCATTTGTTGCCAGAAAACAAAATTTTCTTCAAAATACAACCACTTGCGATGTTTCATGGCCAAAAACATAAACGAATTACAATTAGGAATATGACTGAGTTACAACAGCAGAACCTGCAGGTCTATTGCAGTAACAGGTAAAATATATTTCAGTTGCTAACATCATGAAAGCTGTTAAAGTTTGTCCATGTTAGTCATCTCTTTTTAGTGCTAGTCATCATGCAGAGAAATCAACACCAACAAATTATAATATAAAGATTATGAAATTGAGGATGAGTTTTTTGCGACTATCAATACTCGGATGATGTCATTAGTACCATGTTGTATACTGATTGGTTAATGACATTCTTGACCTATCAGGTCAAGGGTTACTATGGTAGAGATTTCAGCACAAAATAAACAGTATCAGTTGAGTGTTCTAAAACATTCTTAACTGTATTTTGTTGAACTAACAGTATTTAAAACCATTGGTTAAGGTAGAAGCCTACTCATGATTTCAAATACCCAGAATTTATTCATTTTTTATAAATTGTACTTCTGGGCAATATAAGAATATTGACTTAAAAAAAGTTGGGGATCACCAGTTTAATTTTCGAGAAAATCATGGTTGTATTTTAGTGGATAGCGACGATTTTGGCAGTATTATAGTGCTTTTACCATAGGTTCCTGTGGCAGAGATATGTCGCCATATCTCAAATTGTAGGCTGGTGACATAGGCTGAAAAAATAATATATTGTTACTGATGGGATACTTTTTGTTTTCCAAAATCTTTTCAAAAATCTGGGTTTTAAAAAGTGTTGAATAATGCAATTTTTGTTTAAATTGCGCTCTATGAAATTGTTCTAAAAATAACTATTTTTGAAAAATATTAGAACAAGTTTCTCAAAAAATTTCACTGTAACACAAAAAAGAATGCTATTTTATGGTGCCATGGTACAATAGTTTCACGATTTTACATAATAGACCAATGAACATTGTCATGCGATTTATGACCAACTTTCTCAAAAATGATGAGTAGGCTTCTACCTTAAAAGTCAAACATTTTGATAGACTTTTATACAAGCAGATGATGTACAGACCTCAAAATTTAATTTTTTTTTCTAGAGAGCTGATGTGCTTCTAATAGAACAAATATGGTACATATTACTTACAAGAACTGGCAAGCCATTCTCCATTTGGGCTAAATTTGACAGCGGAAACAGCTTTTGTATGTCCTGCTAATGTGAATTTCAGTGTGTAGTTGGGTCTCTGCGTGAAAAAACAAATGCATATTAAATATTAAAAGAATTGCAAAAACATTAAATAATTTTTTTTGTTAGGGAGCAGATCAAAATCACTTTGCCGACTGTTTCCCACGGAACGCCGACTAATACTGCACCGTTCGTAGCAGAGCCGACATACGCAGACTCATTATAATGCAAATTACAGCGTGATTAAATATTTATTAAAAATTAACATACTACGAATGTCGCAGTGTGCCGGGAACCCCTGTGGGAAGCTGTTTTTTGTTTGTTTTATTTATTTATTTTTATCATTTTATTGAATATTATCATTGATCTTGCTGTTGTTATAGCATGTCCGTTTTGTCAAGTTTCAAAGTTCCATTTATGGATTTCCTGACTTGCCGACGTCAAGACAGACTGAGTTCACGTTCGTCAAAATATATTCACCGGATGTATTGCGAAACAGACACGATCTCACACATTTTATATAACTTAAAGTTTGGTAAACCATAAACTGTTCATATCCGTTTCTCAGATATCTGGCTTAGACTTTTTTTGGCTATATACCAGTAGTGTATTTTTGGCTATATAATGATGAGTCTGCAAGTCATATTCATAGCAGTGACAAATGCTGGACCAAATACAATGTAAAAATTTTAGACTAAATCGAGCATCAAATCTAACCCAGTGCTATATAAGAAGGTTGTGTCCCTCTATATCACAACTGTGAACTGGTGAACTAAGCTTCTTTTTATTGGTGTCTGTTATTTTTTATCACACATTTCCATTCTAAATGGTTCTGATGTCAGATAATGGCAATCGTTGTATCTAGTACAAGTTTCCGCAATAGAAAAGTAGAATTATCCTTGGAAGAGAATGGGTAACGATTGTCTGCATCTTTGTTAGGGAAGAGTAGGAAATCAAACGGGCGGTGCACCGCGGTCATTACCGCGGTGTACCGCAGAACGCCGGGGAGAGCCGCGGACTGCTTATAATTAGGGGTCTCTACCGCTGTACCGGTCTCTACCGCGGTCCTCGGTAATGTGTGAAATACGTTTCTTTGTGATTCCACGAGTCATTGTTTTAAAATCCGATGCTGTAAATGAATACG